GTGTGCGTGTGTGTGTGTGAGTGAGCGAGAGAGAGAGAGAGAGAGAGAGAGAGAGAGAGAGAGAGAGAGAGAGAGAGAGAGTAAAATTGGCCTATTTTGTACAACCATACGTGAGACCATATATTTAAAGGACATACATTCAAATGTACATGTCCTCACATCGTTGTGAAATTATGTGCTCGTCAAAATAAGGAAATCGAAGAAATCGGCATTTTTCCGCCAGTTGGGAATTTTTTTCGAATTTCTGTATTTTGGCTCAACACCTTGTATGTCCATTCAAAAACATTCTTACGCGTGGGTTTTATTGAATAACGTTCAATAAAGGCACTAACAACGTAAATTTTCAGTTTCCAAGGAGTCTTGAGCTATGGAAGTCACCAAAGCTTTAGCGGCCACTTTCTCGCTAATTTTACTTCTGAAACCAGGCCACTCCACCTCCTTCAATAGCAAATACCTCGACTTCTCTTCAACATAATTGGATACTTTGTTTTATCAAATGCAAGGCATATCAAATTAACAACCTTTAAGATGATACCAATAACTCCATATACCCAAAAATTGACGAGTGCCTGATTCCACCGCGTTGTGGCTCACACGTTAATATGAATATTCTCACTACACTTAAAGATCACATGTTAACGAACACACGGACAAAAAAAAAAGGATTTAACCATTTAAGTATCAACAAATTAATTAAATGGACAATCACCATCAAACAACTAAAAAAAAAACTATTCGTATTATAATATGACCTTTACACAAAAACAAAAATAATGCTTCACTACAAAGCAAAGGAAAAATGAAATGTGAAGAATCTTTCTCACCTCTCCTTGAGATACGTGTTGTTTCGAAACTGTTCAGTCAAGTCCTTGTACGCAATCACTGTGAACTTCACTTGCTCTACAATCATGGAAGATCGTGAGATATTTATTAAACAATTTTAGCACAGTAAATAGGTCGAAGTATTGTTACCTGTACTTCAAAATGCTGCAAATTTTATCCAAAATACTTTTTTTTTTACTTTTCATATTACAACAGTAAAAAATGATATTAAAATTTGTAAACTTAGCATTATATACAGTTGTCAAAACATAATAAGATCCATCAATTCAATAAATGCTGGTACACCTTACTAAAAAGATAGTTCAAAAGACAATTCCTAGAAATATGTGCGTATTTTTTACGTTAAAGCAGCAAGGTTAGATTATACAGAGCATGGGTGGAAGAAAGACTCTTTCTTACTGTTACAAACTTTAGGATGTGACACAAGTCAGAGCCTACTCAAAATTCAAAGCAGAGAGAGAGAGAGAGGGGGGGTGGGGAGAGAGA